AGGATCTTCAAACCATGTAATTGTTTCTGAGACTATACAATCAAGCTGAATGCTCAGTTTCCATAACTGGGGACCAGTCACAAGATTACGCTCATCACCTTTGGCAGAATAACAATTGCAGTTAAGTCACAACTAAATAAGATCCTGTTGTAGGAACTGGCCTGATACTTAACAACCATATCAACAAAGAGGGGACTATTATACTATTAGTATACGATACTAATTAATACCACAAGAGAAGAATGGTGTCCTTCTGCCAAAGGCTTTTGGCCCTTAAGATGTCTCCCCTTTCTAGTCTCTCATCTTCCCTAACTGGGTCACCTGAAAAGGGACGCCTCCTTTCCCCCAACTTCTCATCTCCAGAAGCTTCCCAAACTATGCTCAATTAGGAGGGGAAAACATTTATTCCAGAGAGAACTATAGGTGAGCATACCCATTTACCTCTAATCTATAATTGTAGGTTCAAGAGTCCCCCTAACTCCATCTTCTAAGAGCAGGGCTTAATTCAGCTACTCCTTCATTCCTGGGAAAGTCCCAGCTGACATTGACAGTAGACCTCCAAGGTCCCTTCCAACTCTATTTTTCTAATTCTAATACTTTGCACAGTCTACATTCATTTTTCTGAAGAGCTTCTTCAAATTTCCAGTTCTAAGTTGTCTTGAACTCCAGGATATCAAATTAAATACAGGTAATCCTCAATTTATGACCACAACTGAACCCCAAATTTCTGTTGCTAAGCAGAAGACAATTATTAAGTTAATGTTGCCTCATTTTACAACCTTTCTTGCCATATTTGTTAAGTGATTCACTGCAGTTGTTAACTGAATCTGGCGTGCCCATTACCTTTGCTTGTCAGAGGTCGCAAAAGGTTGTCACAAGACTCCAGGACACTGCGGCTGTCATAAATATGAACCACTTGCCAAGCATCTGAAATTTGATTACGTGACCATGGGGATGCTGCAAAGATCATAAGTACGAAAAATGGTCATAAGTCACTTTTTAAAATGCCAATGTAACTTCAAACTGTTTTAAGTCGAAGACTACCAGTATAGCAATATAGAAAATCCTTGCATTAATTTGCACATATGCCAGAATTTGTGGTTGGCCCAAAGGGAGAACTTTGCTGAGATACAAATGCTCTGGGATTCATGGCGGTGTGAGAATTCTCAGAGTCAACTCACACAAGTTCAAACACATTCACCAAACTTTTGTTACAGGGTGCACACCTTGGCAATTCATGCACAAGAAATAATGTTAGAAATCTTCACACAGTTCACAGCTATATACAGTTTTATTTTATCAGCAATTTGAACTTGTTCTAGGGTATTGTATTTATTTAATCGATTTTTATTGTCTCACCAAAGCAAACTCTGATAGTCATGCAGTTTTTCACTCAACAAAGAATTATACATTTGGAAATGAAGGATAAACACTTTTCTATATTGTGCTTAATAGAATACCTGACTTTGCAGAATATATCAATTTTAACACTAGCACTGCTCTTTTTTTTTCTTTTGAGAAGGTCAAAAATTAGGGGCTCTGAAACAACCAACATATTGTGATGTTTGAAGTGTAAGCTCGGTAACAGAAGCAAAGAGTGTGGGTTTTATATATTTCATATTAGTATTCTTAGACTTCTAGACAAAATCCTATCAAATAGGTGCTAATTCAGAGAGTCTCCAAGCTATGGGTCATGATCCACTAGAGGGTGTGAATAGCAAGAGGTCTACAATATGCAGCAAATATGAAAAGCAAAGTAAAAGCAAAGCAAAATGAAAACTACTCACCTGCTGTACTTCTGATGGCACAGATAATGATTAAAAAGACTTCACTGCTTGGGATAAGCTGAGATGGAGAGCAACTCTGGCTAGCCTTAGAGGCAGAGAATGGAATGCCTGTGGCACAACCTATCTACCCCAGCCTCGTATTGCCTTTTCCCATCAATTTGAAAATGCCAAAGGGTCAGCCCCCAGCCCCAGATCAGTGGTTTACTCAGGCCCCTTTTCATACAAGTAGAAGCTGTGTTGCAAAAGCAGATGCCACAGTTAAGGAGAAATTTCCTGATAGTTAGAGCAATTAATCAGTGGAACAGGTTGACTTCAAAAGTTGGGGATGCTCCATCACTGGAGGGTTTTAGGAAGAGATTGAACAACCATTGAAATGGTGTAGGGCAGTGGTGGCTAACCTTTTTGGGCTCCTGTGCCAAAAATTGTGTGCGCGCTTGCACGATCACACTCGCGTGCCAGCACCCAGAAAACTATGTGTGCCTCCCCATGCCCCCTACACATGTGCGCACAATCCCCACCCACCCGCCGCCACCCCCTTATCTGCACTGTGCCTCACAGTTGATTTTCAGCTGGTTTGAGGCCTTTTTCGATCTCCCAGGGGCTTGAGGAAGGCTTCTGCAGGCTTTGCAGGTTGAAAACTAGGCCCATTTTGTCACTTGCAGTATTTCTGGAAAAACAGAAAGTGATGAAACGGGCCTAGTTTTCGGCCTGCAAAACCTACAGAAGCCTTCCTCAAGCCTCTGGAGGCCGAAAAAGGCCTCAAACTGGCCGAAAATCAGCTGTGAAGCATGCATATGCGCAGTGAGGTAAGTTTGCCTGTAGCTCGCGTGCCGGCACAAATGGGTCTGCATGTCACCTGTGGCATGCGTGCCATAGGCTTGCCATCACGGGTATAGGGTCTCCTGTTTGAACATGGGGTTAGACTAGAAGACCTCCACGGTCCCTTCGAGTCCTGTTATTCTGAATAATAGTATTCCAATAATAGCATTGGAAAGGACCTTGGAGGTCTAGATACTTTTATAGATACCTTTCATCATTCATTAGTTTTATTACATTTTTAATCCTGTATGTTACTATACCATTAGATGATAGACAGAGGCTTTACCCCAAATATATGTACATACTTACATATACATAGATGCATATATACACACTTATGCTCAATATATATTCATCGAGCATATGTATATTAGGCATATGTAATGCAGGTAGTCCTCAACATACAACAATTCATTTTGTGACTGTTACAACGGCATTGACTTATGGCCATTTTTCACACTTAAATGACCATTACAGCATCCCCATGGTCATATGATCAAAATTTATACACTTGACAACTGACTCATATTTATGACAGTTGCAGTGTCCAGGGTTATGTCATCACCTTTTGCAACCTGACAAGCAAAGCGAGTGGGGAAGCCAGGTTCACTTAACAACCATGTGACTGATTTAACAACTGCAACGATTCAATTAACAAACCTGATAAGAAAAGTTGTAAAATGGGGCAAACTCACTTAACAAATTTCTTACTTGGCAATCTAAATGTTGGGCTCAATTGTGGTCATAAGTTGAGGACTACCTATAGCCTATGTTACTTCTCCGGACCTGCCTAAAACTGATTTGAGATCTCTTGTGGTTAATGTTGCATAGCAGATGCCTTTGATCAAAGTTAGTTCACATTTCTGTAGATTATTTAATTAGGTTTCTTGGTGTGCCATGTATCTAGGTTAAGAAGAATGGATGTTAGCACATTCTATGTATTACAACCTTCTATATATATTGGCAGATCACCCAAATGTATTCTTAAACAAAAAAATAGGAGGGCTTCCTTACCCACCCTGAGGTGAAGTACTGTGGAGAATTTGCTGCATAAGTACACAGTGTTGCAATGGCCTTTCTGTTTCTCAGCCCTAAGTTCATATTTGATAATGAAATTTGCTTTATTCCAATACACACACACACATACACACACACATGTTTTCTTAAGTTTTCGTGGGTGCTTACATGTATGGCATTCAGCTTCGTTCGGGTATTTTCCCACGTCATTATAGTTGTGCTTTTAAAGTTGTAGCAACATTTCGGCAGAATCTCATCTGCCATCATCAAGCTTCTGCATAGTGCAATTTGGCGTGTTTATGTCCCACTTTTAGTGATTTACAACTAACTCAAGCCAGCAAACATATCCAGTACACCTTCTTCATCCTATTTTCCCCAGAATAGCAACCCAATAAGGTTGGTCGGTGAGAGAGGGGGAGAGGGAGGGAGGGAGGGACAGAGAGAGAGAGAGACTAGCCCAAAGTCATCAGTTGGCTTCCATGGCTAAGGCAGGACGTGAACTCTGGTCTCCTAATTTCTAGCCTGATGCCTTAACCACTAGAGCAAACACAATCAATAAAGTGTTGATGCTTAACAAAAAATAAATAGATGTAACATTATAGTACCATGACAGTCAAAGCTTTCCTTATGCTGTTTTTGACCCAGTGACCAATGCGAAGCAAAAGGCAACATACAGCTATAAGAAAAATTATAGTGACTTTCCTTTAAATTAAATGTGCTTGACTTCCTAGGGACACATTTCTTCTATTTTAGATTATACCTTGTCAAAAAGAAAAGGAAAAAAAAGCCCATTCTGTAATAGCAGCCTACTCCTCCAAGCTTCTGTCACAGATTGCCGCTGTAGTAACTCTGAACCTGGAAAATGGACATGGGGAAGAAAGTAAGAGAGGCAGGACAGATAAACGAGCACATATCCTCCAGTTCCTCCACCTGCTTTTGACAATATAATATCAGCCAAATACATGTTGGGGAGTTTTATAAAAATAGAGTGTAAGAAGCGAGAGATCGAGAGAGAATGTTGAAAAGAAAATTATACTGTAACATATGTTACTTCCTTTATGGTAGACCTTTAGGGGAAAACTGCTTTTTCTTAGGATTCCAGTCTTTATGAAGGGTCCAGAGGAACATTACTTATATGACGGAGCGTTGCCGCAGTGGTTGTGGCAAAGAGAAATTGCGTTAGGACAGGGACAGCTCACAATGACACTTCCCTGGAAGCTCTCTATCATCCACATGTCCTTTCATTACGGGAGAAGCCTTTGCCCTTGAAAGTCCTATAATTGGAAAAGAGCTGTTCAAAGGCATGTTTTCTGGTTAAGGGCATGTTTTCTGTTATATAACCAATATCATTTGTTGTTGTTTTTCCTTTAACTACAGATAACAGCAGCTGGAGGACATCTGAAATTTACTGTTTTATATGACCTCGCTGGGGAAGAAGATATTGCTGAGGCCATCCTTCAGCCCGATGTCATCATAGAGGTAGAATATTATCTCACTAGATATGAATGTGTAAACTGCCAACAGCACACTGTAAGCAGAATCCATAGGGCTAAGAAAGAAACTTCATTGCAAGAGTTCTCTTCCCAAAGAGAGCTGCTGTATGATTTTTATTTCAAAGATGGGAAAAAAAACAGCAGAAATACCTTTCCCCTTGAGAGCCAGCAGGCCCTACCCTTTTTATCTTCTGAAAAGTACTTAAGACCTTACTTCTCCTTGAAGAGTTGGTATAGGGTGAGCGAGGTATGCTTGTGTTGGCAGGTCATTCTGATTTTCGTTTTATTGGATTTGTTTTATTGTTTGTATGTATTGTTATATACAATAACATACACACACACACACACATATATATGCATATATAAAAATACATATACATACATATATAAATATACATATACATACTTACACACAGTCATGTGAAAAAATAAGTACATTCTCTTTGAGTTCTATAGTTTTAAGTATCAGGACTTAGTAAGAATCATCCGGTCCTTAGCAGTTCTTAAAAGTAGGTAAATACAACTTCAGATGAACAACAACACATTGCATGTTACACAGTGGTGAGATTCAAAAAAAATTTACTACCAGTTCTGTGGTGTGGCAGGGGAAGGATACTGTAAAATCTCCAGTCAGAGGTGGTATTTGCTGGTTCTCTGAACTACTCAAAATTTCTGCTACCGGTTCTCCAGAACTGGTCAGAACCCACTGAATACCACCTCTGATGTTACACCATATCGTCATTTTATGTTATTAGGTGCACAGTTTGTGTGTGTCTGCTTAAAATAAATAAAAGTTAACCTGATTACCTCAAAGACTAGCGCAGGCATGGCTGTGATTATCTGAACAATGATTTACATGTTCTGGAATATTTCTTAGCATTTTGCAATATATATATTAGATGCTGAGCCATCCAGAGTTTGATTTAAAAGTAGAGTAATAACATGCAAACATAGCCATGTCTATGTCTATTATATTTGGATGGTAAAGAAAGGGATTGCATTAATGTTAAGTAATATTCCAGAACACATAAATCATTTCAGAACATGATAATCACAGCCACACTTGGGCTACTATTTTAGGTAATCATTGTTACATTCTATTTATTTTAGACAGATGCACACAAACCGTGGGCATAATAACATCCAGAAATGGCACTTAAAGAAACACTTATTGAAAATAAAACCCATTTTTAAATGACATCATTCCTCTGATGCAACTTTGGCTTTGTTTCAGCAAGATGCATAAAGATTCTTCAAATACCCAGAAGAGGTTTCAGCTCATGTCTATGGTCCTTTAGCTATACTAGAAACAGAGCAGAGTGGCTGCTTTATTTCACTGAAGTATATGTGTACCTGCACACATATTGGTGGTTTGCTTTACCAAACTGTTTTAAGGAAGTTCAACACACAAACCTTTATTGAATCAAAGCATTTCTTCCAAGTTCTGCATAGAATCACAATTAATTAAAGCATAATATAAAAGTTATCTGAATTGCATACTCTGGATGTAGCATGCGCTACTTATATGTATTCATTTCATTTTATGTTACCTCTGAACCTCTTGATAATGAATGCCGGACATAATTCTCTGTTCATGAAAATATAAACATGTGACATCAGTTTCCTATATAGGTGATCTGATTTACCTTTTTGCATTGACCATGTTTTCCTAGAGACAGTGGCATTGTTTCTGAAGAATACATCATGTATATAAAACACACTACACAGTATGCATTCATGTCAAGGTGTTCTGCTCTCTAATAATGCAGCATTGAAACTTGCTTTTCTTAGTGTTTTCATCCATGTCATTTTTTATAATTAGGGAAGTGGGTTGAGAATAAGGACTTCGCAGGAAGGGATTCACCTGAACCCATTTGAAGAGCACACAGAAGAAGTCTTACTGAAGCACAACTTATTCATGCTGCACGGCATTCCTGTCAGCAAAAGGGAATTTATGACTGTTTTGGCGAATATAAAAAGACTCCTTATAAGAGCCACATACAGCAATGGGATGAATGCCATCTACAGGTAACTGTTGAAAAAGCATTTTGTTCCCTTTGGTGAGATTCTATCATTCAGGACTGATAGAAGTAGATTGTATTTTCTCTCTTTGTTGCCTTTAATTATATCAGATAATTTTATATCATAGATCAATATCACTCATTTTGTTAGCTTGTGGACAAATAATATTTCCTAAATGTTTGAAAGAATCATTTCCAACTAACATTCCTAATCTAGAAATAAGAGATAAACTACTAGACTAATAATGACTCAACAGACCCCCAGAAGAAATAAATAATACACTGTTTATCATGCAGCATAGGAATCTATTAATTATTATTCAGCTTTGTAATTAAATGATGTAAATAGAGTAAATAATACACAGTAAATCTATTCCCATAAAATGCTTAATCCAATCATCCACTAACCAAGCGAGATCATATAATCAGTCATTTGGCAGCACACAATCACATTTGTTAAGCATTACCATTTGAGGTACCAAGAACACCCACTCATTTGCCTCAGGAGGTGGCATCCCTGAGCCCTTAAACTATGTAAGTGCTGGTAAGGATTCATGATACTACTAGCTTCCTACCCATTGTCTGTGTAGGAGCAAGAAGGTGTTGCTTGGCAACTGCAGTCGGAGGTGTAGACTATACTTTCAGGATTCATGGGCAACCATATTTTTCCAAGTGCTGGGGATTTGAGAGTGCAGGTTCAATTGTCTGTATTTAGATTTCTCCACAAGGTAATTCATTTGTTGAATTAGTCTAATTCTATACATGATGTTTGGGATTAACTTTAGCACCCTATAAATTAATTGATTGAATCAACCAAGTACTTTTTGGTGCTTCTACAATACACGAATTTTCTCAAGGATTCAATTAAGCGTGCTGGATATAGAGCCAACATATATTATTAACAACTGGTACATTAAGAAGAAAGGCACAGAAATAATAAATTCTTTGTATAATTATAGACAGGTTTACTCAAAATTAAGGGCTGCTGATTTCATTGCAATATAAATGAACACCATGTAAGTTTACATCAGTTTAAGCATCACCCAATTTTTTTTTTAAAAAAAATGCTTTTCTGAAAACAATTGTAATTTTATTCAGTTGTACAGCTGCCATCTCATTGAATGATTTTGAGCTATTAAAATAATTGAAAGTAGCAAGAGCAGAAAATAAATACATACCTGAGATAAAACAATAGCATAATGTCTAAAAATGAATATATTTTGTGTAGATTTTTCTTCTGTATATTTAGTTATCAATTTTTTTTTACTTTGTGAATTTTGCATGTGCTTTCATTTGCAATTTTTGTATTGACTTGTTTTGCACAAAAAAATGTGCAAAACTAACAAACTGAATAGAAAGAAATTGAGGAAGCCTTTAAAACTGTAACAGGTTGTTCTGATGACCTAGCACTTCAGTATAAATACAAACCATTCAGCTCGTAAGTTTCTTCACAGCTTTGTCTTAACCTTTCATTGCTTCTCTTATTTCTTTGCACATTCCACTTGAGCCTTCTCTACTACATCTCTTCTACCTTCACTGATGTCAAGGTCTTTGATCCCTCAGCAACTCCTGCTTCTGTTCCTTGTTTTTCTTCTTTTCTGCACAGATTTGGCTTCTACAACACATATATACTGTTTCACCTTTCTTAATTTTCAAAAGCCTGCTCTAAAAGTAATCCAATTTTATGCCGGTGTCACCTTTTTTATACTGTAAAATAGCTAAAAATCTATTTAATGTATCCAGGGCTAAACATGACATCAGACATATTTCCTCCAAGGGATTGTCAAGGCAGTACAACTGCTTGAAGACCCCTGGAACATAAGAGAAGGTATCCTGCATTGTCTAGAAGAGGCAATTGATAGTGTCTGTAGTGGCCTTTGTTTGATGACGCTAACTTTCCCTTTAAGAGTAGTCCTCTTCAGAGTTTCTTAGTCAGCCCAGCTTATATCAACTAGAATGTTACTTTTCTGTAACAAGGCAACTCTCCTTAAGGCTGTTTCATTTAGTTGCTGTCAACTTTTTCTTTTTCTTTCTATTCTGAGGTCACATTTTCTCCAGTTGTAGAAAGAAAGTCACAGATACAAGACTGCTATTCTACTTGTATCCAGAACAATCGCCTATATTGTAAATAAGTTACATGATTTGATTCTATTTTGTCATCATATACTAATGTTCAAAATGGAAAAAAAATGAATAAGGTTGGAGTGGGGTCTACCTCCATTCTAAGGTCCCATTTTTAAAATTAATATTCTGACATAGCTAGGATCCATGCACAAGATCACGGTGTCAACTCGTGGCATCAAGTTGCCGTTACGTGAGATATCATGATATTTTTCCCCTTCACGGAGCTGGGGTGGTCAGAGGTGGCCAGTTTGACACCCCTGCGCTAGGTCAAGAGCTTCCAAACAGTGTGTCTCCAAATCGAATGTTCCAGAACTGGGTAGAATTCCATAAGAAACTAAGAGGGGACCACCACCACCTTCCACAAAACCATTTTAATGCAACCAAGGGATTTCCGGCCATTTTTCTATAGTTCATTGGAAAAGGCAAAGCTTGTCTGCTGACATTCAGAAACCTTCCCTCCTCCAGGAGCTGTTCATGCTCATGAAGAATCATCATTTTTATCTACAATACACATGACGATACCTGTGCATTGGTAGATCCCTGCACAAACAGCATGTTCAATAGAGAAAGCTGGCGATGGGAACAGCAGGCATTACCTTGATAGACAGCATTTATATGTTTATTTTTTTCTTATTCTGAAACCTCAGCATAGGGTGTAATAGAAACAAAGATGATTAATATAAACAATGGAGGAAGCTCCCATCTCAGTATGAAGTTCCTTCATACAGATAGTGTTATGGTTCACCGGCAGCAGGTGCAGACAGCTGAGGTCTTAGAGAGCAAGGACTCAGATGAGGGGCCTGTGTGTGATGCAGGGATGGGGACAGGACTATCAGAGAGTGGAGTGCTGCCTTTGGAGCTTGTGGAGGATGGCAGCAGTGATACAGAGGACCCCGAGGAGCCTATGCCCAATGCACTTGCGCACAGGGCTGCTCAAAGGAAAGAACAGCTGCAGCAGCACAGGCAACTCAGGTGTAAGGCTGCAACGTGATGGCCCCTCCCATAAGGGATAAAAGCCAGCCCTCAGAGGTGGGATTCTTTGCAGGAAGCAAAGAAGTTCTTGTACTTCAAGTCTTGTGGAAGTTCTGACTATTCTGTTTGTGTTTGGAGACTTTTGGTTTTGATTATTTGATTATTGCAATTAAATCTAGCATTTTTGGCAGCCTTGCACAATCTTGGCAAGGCTTGCTCTTATCTGGGACAATTAGTTTTTGGTAGCGTTTTACTGTGAATGAACGGAATTCACAGAGAAACATTTAAAAGGTTATGCTTTTATCTCTGTTTGGTGCTTGTTTGCTTTGAACCAGGTTTGGGTCAGAACAGGTAGTCATCAACTTACAGCCCTAACTGGGTCCAGAATTTCATCGCTAAGCAAGTCAATTGTTAAGTGAGTCATGCCCAATTTTACAATCTTTCATGCCATGGTTGTTAAGCAAATCACTGCAGTTATTAAGTGAATCACATGATCGTTAAGTGAATTTGACTTCTTCCATTGACTTTGCTTGTTGGAAGCTGGCCGGAAAGTTCACAAATTGCATGTTCATAAGATCCCAGGACACTGCAATGCTCGTAAGTGCATGCCGATTGCCAAGTGTCCAGATCTGGTTCACATGACCATGGAGATACTATAAGAGCCACAAAACATGAGGACCAGTCATAAGTTACTTGATTTCACAGCTGTTGTAATTTTGAATGACCACTAAATTAATGGTAATAAGTCCAGGGCTAACTGTGTGTTTTGGCTACTTTATCAACGTGTATCAGATGATCACAACTCTGTCCTTTGGTGCTTCAAGTATAATCGTTAAAATGCGTATCACTGGTCTTTGTTGAAAACATGCTGATAAATCATCAAAGCATTTTAAAATGCATTTAAATATACATTCATAATTAGCACTTAACAATAGCACTTAGACTTATATACCTTTACAGCCCACTCTAAGCAGTTTACAGAGTCAGCATATTACCTCCAAAAATCTGGGTCCTCATTATATTGACCTCCGAAGGATGAAGGGCTGAGTCAGCCTTGAGCTGGTAAACTGCTGCCAGTGGGCTGAGTTAGCCTGCAGTACTGCATTCTAACCACTGCGGTACCACAGTTCTTAAACAATTGTTGGACTTATTCAAAAGGCAACACATTTTTAAAGAGAAAATGCATTACTGTTATGACCAAGTCACACTTTCTCTGGCCTGGATCTCTCAGAGACAGTGAGACGTTCCTGCCATTTTTATTTTAGTCTACAAAAAGTCCATTTCCAAAGTTTAAAAGGTCAGTAGTAGCTTTGTAGCCCATGTTTAGATTTCAGTACTTAAGGGGAATTGAAACCACTCGGTGAATTCAACTAGGGAATAATGTTGCGTGAAATGTAGACAATGTGACCTAGAAGCTTTCCAATAGTATCATATGGTGCTGGTGATTTCTTTCCTTTCTTTTTAATCTCAGGATACAACAATTAATGTAATAGCAGACCATAAACTGCACTGCTATTGCTTCAAAAGCTGCATCTTGTTTAATCTCGTTTGCATTTAGAAGTCAACAGTGTCTGCCACGCTAGCAATCATATTAAATACTTGGTCTAGATACTTGAATTTCTCAAGTATCTCCAAGATCCAGTATCCCATTACTGCCAACATTATGTACTTTAATGTCTGCTGAACGACACAGAGGATTAGAAATTACTACACTGAAGTGAGGAAAAATTGCACTGCAGCTTTTTTCAATGAATAAAAACTGTTAAACACATTAAAATACCATTTACCAAATAGCAGAACCTAATGAAAATTGGGACCATTCAGTGAATACAAATGTGGAATAATTCTGAGTGAAATGTTCTGTGTGTAACTGTTTCTCATTGCTCCAAATTATATTACATAGCACAAAGAAAAGACAATCTGTAGGTAAATAGGTTAGTAAAAATACCAGTAAATATTGCTATGTGTAGATATTAAGTTCTTTAGATTTATTCTTGGCCTTAACAAATTGTAGTGTATGTTTAAAAAATATTTATTCTGCCTCATTTTAAAAGAAAATTTAACAATGGGAATAGAGTACAAGGACAACATCTTAAATATGAATAATGGATTTCTGGAATGTGTAGTACATGTTAGACTATCTCTGTTATTGGAAAAGTGCTTTGGGTAGCATGAAAAATGAAGAAAAAATATAAATGATTTTAAAAATGTATGTACTCCTCCTGCATTGTATTTGTCAAAGAAAAATTCAGTAAATCTTTATTGGCTTACAAAATTCTATATACAGTAAAGTATATAAAACTAGACATCTAATGGGCTTTTTGTCAAAAATGTTGCTTTCTTCCATATTTATATCTAGATACTCCCCAAGAAATAGGGAGCCAGAGATACTGTGTAATGTAATGACTTGCAGATGAGTTTATTTCTCATCATTCAAATGTCATGTAGGACATTTGGATAACTAACTTCCCATCCCCCAAGCTTTGGGAGCCTGAAGTTTTGAAACCAGTTTGTAGATGATCCATGGTGGCACAGTGGTTAGAGTGCAGTACTGCAGGCTACTTCTGTTAACTGCCTACAATTTGGCAGTTCAAATCGCACCAGGCTCAAGGTTGACTCGGCCTTCCATCCTTCCAAGGTGGGTGAAATGAGGACCCAAATTGTTGGGGGCAATATGCTGACTCTGTAAACCATTTACAGAGAGGGCTGTAAAGCATTGTAAAGTCTAAGTGCTATTGCTATTGTAGATACTATGCTATATCCCACCATGTGTGAATTGTGTGGCCATATACACCTATTTAATAAATAAATAAACTCACATCACATAGGACCCTGCATGCATCCAAATGTTTCAGTGGGCTACACTTTTTAAAATAAAACATGTGGCTAATTTACCTCCTCCCAGCTTCCTTATCATGTAGAATGAGACTTCACCCTGAGGAGAGTCTCTTGCTAATGGTAATTAGAAAATCAGGGTCAGATTAAAACATTTTTCCAGTGGTAGCATGGAACTATGTAAAGAATCACAAAAATTAACTACTTAGCAATGCTCCCAGAGGCACTGGTTAAGATGCAAAGAAAGTTTATGTTCAGGCTTGGATAATAACAGTAGAATTACGAAATACATTTCAGTAATAGTAAATCTACTGAATTTACCAATTTAGATAAATTAGTTTATTATTTTTCTATAAATCCTTTATGGATAAATACTTGATATATTACCTAATTTTGATTTTGATAGGATAGTCAAGGAAGCTGTTATCTATAAAAATAAGTCTAAGATGATTTCCCCCCTGAAAACATTAAGTTTCAGAACAAAGCAAAATCCAGTGAACAACACTGGAGGTTTTTACGAAGAGATCAGTCAACCATTTTTCTGAAATGGTATAGAGTTTCCTGTTTGAGCAGGGGTTGGACTAAGAGGCCTACAAGGTCAGTCACAATTCTGTTATTCTGTTATTCTGAAATAGGGAAAAAGATTTTTTTTAAAGGGGAGGGGGATCAAGAATAAAGCAAAATTGAAAGTGCAAGGGAAAAAAGAGATTTTTTTTAAAAAAAAGAATAAACAAAAGAATAACTTCTGATTTTCTTTGGTACAGAAAGTATAAAATGATATGATATGATTAACCATAACACACAGTACTATTATAGTAAAACAAAAACCTCTAATCGTCAAATTCCAAAGTTAAAATTTTATTTCTTTCAGTTTCAAGCAAAAGTTCAAAAGTGTTTTCTAAGTAGAAAGAAAGCCAAATAAACTTCTTACTTTTAATCAAAGCAGTCAATTTCTTCCTTTTTGCTCTCTCTATTAACTGCACCATCTATTCTTCCATTGTGGGATTTTACGAATTCTTCCATCTCTGTGATATAAAAGTCTTACTGCTGTTATGTATAAAAGTAAAGTCCTGTATTTTTTCCCCAATCTATTTGTCCATCAAATCTAGAAGAAAAACCTCTGGTTTCGATTGTACATTTATTTTAAGATTTCCCTGAAATTTTAAAGTACAAATCTGGTCCCAATATTTCTTAGCTTTCTTAGATATCCACCTAAATTCGTTTAATGTAAATATCCCTAGAAATTTTATTTAGTTCTTTCTTATTAAATCGTACCTGAGCCTAATTCACCTCCAGATAAACATATCTAGGATTGCTTCCTTAACGCTTAACTTCTTCTGGTTAAAGATTACTGATTTGAATGTGATGAAGAATGGTCAGGTTTTCATTAGATTGTGATTAATATTTCTAATTCAATGAAGTACAAACAGGATTATTGCAAGGCACAGATCTGGGGAAGGCTATCTCACTCATTCTTAAGAGGTCCTTAAAGGGGGCGTGCATAAGCGCACCACCGTGCCTATCGTCCCGGTCTTACTGTCCCCCTTTATCTGTATTTACTTCCTTTGTTCTTGGCATAACCAGAACTCTTCCAAGAGCTGGTCACCTGGTCAAATTGAGAAATTGGGGGAGAGGTGACCAAGATCCTGATTGTCACTCTGACTGAACTCTAAAGATCCTGTGTGGAAATGGGACTGTACCAGAAAACACATGAAAGTCCACATCCATCACTGCAGCCTTCTACCAATCTAGACCCTATGGCAGAGTGGCTAGATAGAAGTCTCTCCTCAGTGCAAAACACATGAAAGTCCACTTAGAGCTTGTTACTCACAGTCTGAGAGTCCTTCTGGTGTTTTTTTTTTTTTTTTGCAAACTCTAAACGGACAACTTTTTTGTGTGTTTCTGGAGTTGCATAAGCTTATTTATTGAACAAATTTATTTAGCTGATCAATTCACATACAATGACTCTGGGGGCATAACAGCATTAAAATCCACAGTAAAAAAATCCACATTTTTTAAATCCCCATCCCACTTGTAGCCTAAGTTCACCTAGTGATTGATTGATTGGTAGGTTGGTTGATTGATTGATTGATTATGCACTATGAAGTCATTGTTGATTCTTAGGAACCACATAGATTTTCTCTAGTCTACAGGCTAGCTTCTTCATGTATTCATGGTACAGCATACAGTGCTTATCAAATCTTTATTACTGTATTGGGAAAAGACTATGAACAATGTCTTGTATAATAGAAAGAAAAGCTTTTTTATCTCTCTCCTTATATTGATTAGTCTATAGAATCTTAGTAAAAAAAAAGCAGTTCACTTTAGAATAAGTATTTTTTCTATAACATCATTTTCCAAAGTAAAACATATTTTGAAGTAATGTCAAATCTATAAATCTAATTTAAGATTTTATTACTTTTCAGTAGGATAAGAAGATGTTTCTCAGTTTCTCAGTCAGCCTAATTCTTGGTCTGCCTGCAGCATAAATAAACATGCAATTTATAAACTAAGCAGTCTTCCTATGGCTAATAACATTTGTGCAACAATGTTCTAACGTTGATTTGCTATGCTATACAGGTAGTCCCCAACTTGCAACCAAAACAGAGCCCAAAATTTATGTTGTTAAGTGAGTTTTGCCCATTTGACAACTTTTCTTGCCACATTTCTTAAGTGAATCACTACAATTGCTAAATTAGTAGCATGATTGTTAAGTGAATCAGATTTCCCTCACTGACTTTGTTTGTCATAAGGTCACAAAAGGAGATCACATGACCCCAGGACACTGCAATGGTCATAAATGTGAGTCAATTGTCAATCATCCAAATGTAAATCACATAACCAAGGGGAAGCTGCAATGATTGTAAGTGTGAAAAATGGTCAGTAGTCACTTTTTTCAGTGCCATTGTAGCTTCAAACGGTCACTAAGCAAACTGTTATAAGTCAAGGACTACTTGTAGTCTACACATGACTTCTACCAAGTCAAAAGAGACAGTCAATTTTTGGAAAACCCATTTTACTTTTAACTAAAACACATGATCTGTCTTCCCCACTCGCAGCCAGTCTAGCATAGCAAATATTATAAATACAATGTTATCTTTCTAGATCATTAGCATTTCCTCTACTTTATCCTTATATATTAGATTGAGTGGTGTCAGCCTGGAATCTGCTAATGACTTATTGACTGGACAAAAAGATGCATCTGCTGTTGAAATTTGCCAGTGTTCTTCAGGATATTTGGGCTCCTCCTGTGAAGTAAGTATCTTAATACAAAGCAGCTGAAGGATTTCTCTGTCAGTAAATATGGGGGTTGATTGAAAAAGAAATCTCTTTTAAGCAGACCAGAAATATGATTATATTAATATTTATGTGCTAGGATCTGAATATCAGAATAAGCTATGTGTGATAGCAATAGAAACAAGCATAACCTCTCTGATTTTAGGTGAATGCCAAGCAAGCAGCACCATTGATACCAAAGCTTAGGAGACACTGACTGATTTTAGGCACCAAAGCTTAGGGGGCACTGACTTCAGGTGAATGCCAAGCTGGCACCACCCTAGGGCGCCAAAGGTTAGGGAGCACTAATGCCCCCCCTTAATCATTCTAAAAATGCAAATCATTTTGACATGGTCAACAGCTCATTATGTTTAGAAGTACCATATACTCTTAAACTGGCATTGTTTTCCATGAGTCGTCATAATGTACCTTTTCTTTCCTCCACATAACTGTAATGAAGAGGTTTGGAAAGTGTTCCTTTTGGTTTTAATTAACTTTGATTTACCACAGCATTCAAATCTAGTTGGATGTGCTTAATTATAGGTTGCATATCACAAATTGTATTCACTCTTTGGAATATTTTATTTAACATTGTATTTCTAAAATTCAGAATTGCCTAAATATATATACCGGATACAATTGGATATTTTTAGTTCAGTTTAAAAAAAAAACCTGAAATCTTTCTTTAGTCTCTTATAATTGTAAATAACTTCACAAATAAGCCTATTTATGTGTTAGATGTTGACTCAAATATATCTTGAGCTCATATTTTCATTCAGAGTAGCAATCTTATGCCTGAAAACATCAATGGGTGACTTCTGAACTGATGCGTGTGTAATTGTGTGATATTTTATATAATGTTCATAACATGCAGCCATGAAACAGTCCTTTGGGCTTAATCACTTTATTTGTCATTATATTTAAAAACTCCGAATACTCAAAATCAAAATATGTGATATGTTTTAGTATTTCAAATCAAAGTAACACTTTCGTGCTTGAGATGAAACATAGTGCTTTTCATACAGATGGTTTGATTGCTTCCTCCCCCCCCCCCCCCCCCCCCCCACACACATACACTTCCCCCCTGAGGTGATAGATTCATCAGTTTAGATGCAGTCTTGTTCAAGGTTATATATGTAAAATCTGAATATTTTCAACCAAATATTATCTATTCTAGCCTATATTTGGAATGAGTGCATGTATGTTTAACTAACATGTCAAGGCATTGCTGGTGGAACTTTTAAATGCAACATTTTGGAAAACTAGGCCTCTAAGGAAGCATTTTAAAGCACAAACATGTTCTTTTTCACAATACTATAAGCAATGTGCCATTTATACAAGCACTCTAGGCATTTACTTGTCAGCTCTCTTCTTTTAAAGCACCATGATGTTATATATGTTATTTAGGTCATAGAGCCTTGATTCTGATAGCTGATATATTCACTTCTTTCTCTTATTATAAATACTAATGTTTAAAAAAGTCACCAAAGGCAACCTATAAAAGGCTGATAATAGATTTTGAAGGGTTTTGTTCAAAAAACTTGTTTGATCAGAAATATCAGTTGAGCAAATGCAGCTAATGAAGGTGATGGTTGGTTATTTATTTATTTACTTTTTCTGCATAGGATTTTCATACAAAATTGAGTTACAGCATTAAAAAAAGCAGGCATCAGAATATAAAAACATGAAATATTGTAACATAAAATAATGTTTGTCTTGTATCATCAGTTTGAAAAACCCAAAACGACTATTGGCTGTCTCCAAAGCAAATTTTAAATTATGATTTAAGGGACAAAATACGAAATACTTTCCCCAAGAACATTGCACCATTAAATCCAGTTCTAACTCATGATTAAACAACTCTGCTAACAAGGATACCATAAAATATATCTACAGTATCTTGAAACTAAATATTTCCCAAGGGATAACAGAAGAAAAACCAGTTTTACAGGGCAATAAACAGATGAGGAAAGGGCACCCACCATTTCTTCTCTGGGATTGGACCTTTGAATATATGTGGGTAGTCCTCAACCTATTACCATAATTGGGACTGGAATTTCTGTCACTAAGCAAGGTGGTTGTGAGATAAGTCATACTGGATTTTATGACCTTTTTTTGCCATGGTTGCTAAGAGATTTGCCACAGTTTTTAATGAATAATCTGATCACTAAATGAATCCAGCTTCACCCATTGATTTTAATTGTTGGGAAAGTTGTAATGGCAATCATGTAACCTGAGAATGTCATAACTGGTTGCCAAGTACCTGTGATGCTGAAATGGTCATAAGTACAAGGACTGGTCATAAGTCACTTTTTTCAGTGCTGTTGTAACTTCAAAGTTGCTAAATGATGGCTATAAGCTGAGGACTACCTATATACAGGTTCTTCCTTGCGGCCCAGTTTCTTGCATATCAAGTCTTTCAAGACACATCCCATTTGAATTGACTATTATAAAACTCTAAGAGAAAGACACTTTGCCAAGGCATTATTGCTATTACTAAGTACATTACCACCTATTAGTCTGTCAAATTTACAGAACTGACTCAAGCAGATATTTGATTGCCAAGAATGGTCCAGGAGCTGCCCTCCTCCCTTAAATCAAATATATAAGAACCCATTTTATTATATTGACTTGGCAAAAATTGTTATAAGCAGTTCAACACACAGCTAATGAAATACCCATTTGTTGCATTTTATGACATAAAAGTAATTGCTTGAACCAGGTACCTTATTCAGCTTAACAGAGATGGTCTTGACCTTCAGTAATATATGCGACATGTAATATATGTTACTCTTGCCATCTGTGTTTGCCTGAGACCTATGGAAATTAGAAGTAAGTAAGTAAGTTGGTTGCTTTTCATTCTAACTTAAAATTCTTCTATTCCCCAGATTTTCTTAAGAATGGCTGTTAAATCAGTTTTCAACACAAGTAGTATGGCTTGTGAGTTGCTTTTGAAATAGGTTTTTCAGTCTGCAAGTCCTTTTTCTTTTATGTACAAGCCCATAAGATTTGGAGTAAAGTTTAATTCACAGAGGGCCCACTGTTAGGAATGTAAGTCACCTAACAGCTATTTGGGTTGGACAATATATAAACCAGGATAGACATTTTAATACTGTATCTTTACGAAAATGCAAAACTGTAGCTGGGTGTGTTTTCCCAAACGGCCATAAGATGGAGCCAGAAACCTGGGTTGTCTTAGTCTTAGTCTCAGAAGTGAGTGAGTCTCTGTTTTCCTTCTGTTGGAGAGTATTGCCGTTCCTCCATTTTTCCTAATTGGCTGCTATTCCTGAATTTGATGTAAGTCTGATACTGAACTGTTTTTGATACTGGGCTTTGTTATTGGATTATCCCTGGACTAAAAACTGACTGATTTTACCTGTGAATGACTTTGGACTGCTTGTTTTGAAACTTTGCTTAACGTTTCTGAAAGTAAAAACCTACATTTACTGTACAGTGTATCTGTGTGCTGTGTGTGTACTATTCAAACACTTCTCTCAATAAGTCTCCCTGTATGCGCTCATTCTCCTAATTGGGAATTACCTCAACACCCACCATTAGAGACTTTTCTCATAGGAATTCCTATGTTAGAATAGATATTTATAGAAAGGAAAGCAATATCAAGTTATATTTTATAAAGTACTTTTATTCCTTTTCTTTCTTTGCTGGTATGGCAGTTCCTCAAATATTTATCTGAATAAAAGCAAACCAATCAGATTGTTTATAGACTCCTTTCTGTTGAGAGAAATATTTATACAATTTCAACCGAAACTATTTCAAGCATTTTTGCAAATTTCAGCTATAAAACAGAAAAGCCCATGAATTTTTTTTTTCTTGGATGGCATTATTATTATATTTTCCTCATGGGTAAGTGTTATTTTCTGTTAAACTGTTCACTGCAAAAATTCAGCTGATGAGATGAAGAATTTAAAAGAGAAATTAAAAGATTATAAGAAAAGTTCTGACATCATTCTGCCACACTGTGTGAACAATTTCCTGAATTCTCTCCTTATCTACACATGGAAAGATGCAAAAACAGCAAGATCCCAGCTACAAGCAGTTGTGTATGCATCTTCAAACCTATAAAATAGAGTCAAAATATGATAGCAAGAATTGCTGTCTGGCATCTTATTCTGAAGTGTAAGCAAAAGTCAGGGTTTTTGTTTTTTTTGATAACTTATACTTGAAATATGCCTGAGAAATGCCCATGCAGTAGATAGAATATATGGTATTGAATCACCATTGATGTGGGGAGGGAATCCTTCTTTTAGATGCAGTATCACACATACACTAGAGCAGTGTTTCTTAAGCTCAGCACTTTTAAGATGCACAGACTTCAAATCCCAGAATTCCCCAACCAGGAAGCTGCTTGCTGGTGAATTCTGGAATTGAAGTAGACACATCTTAATGTTGTTAATGTTGAGAAGCAATGCACTGGAGTGCTTTGCAGTCAATCTGACCTCCTCATATGAGGACTAAGAGTGTGGAAGAAAGAAATACAGTATATTTGATTCCATCCTGCCTGTTCAGCACTAGATTTTCTTGTGTTGAGTAGGAAGTTCTAAACTGATTTCTACTTATGTTCCAATGAACATAACTTCAGAACTTTTACCTCTTGGCCATATACAGGTAGTCCTTGACTTGTGACCCACAACCTAGGCCAAAATTTCTGTGGCTAAGCGAGACAATCATTAAATGAGTTTTTCCCCATTTTACAACCTTTCTTGTCACAGCTGTTAAACACATCACTGCAGTGGTTAAGTTAGTGACACGGTTCTTAAGTGAACCTGGCTTCCCCATTGACTTTGCCTGTCAGAAGGTCACAAAAGGGGATCACATGACTCTGGGACACTGCAACTGTCATAAATATGAGTCAGTTTCTAGGCATCTGAATTTTGATCACATGACCATAGGGATGCTGCAACAGTCATAAGTATGAAAAATGGTCATAAGTCTCTTTTTTCAGTGCCGTTGTAACTTTGAACAGCCATTAAACAAACTGTTGTAAGTCAATGACTACCTATAGGATGAAGCAATGTAGTTTGGGAGTCATGAAAATTCACTGCCTTCCTAACTTTTAGCTCTCTTGAAAGGACATCAAATGCCTGTATGGGGTGCTGATATTTTGTGTATCAAGTACCCCTACACACAATAAAACAGTTTAACCATGGTTTATTGAATTGTCAACACAATTGACTGGGTTTTCAAAATACCACTAAGTCTTAAACCACATTTTATAAGTGATATGGTTTTGCTCAACCTAATCAACCATAACCAAATCATATTATGCTTGAATGAAATGCAATTACAAAACTGCATTTCTCACAATCCTATCCCAATTTCTTGGACAAATATTAACATTCTAATTACAGTGGTATGGCTGACTACATAGAACATATTTACCAATCTTTACATGTGTATTATAATTCTCCGAGGCACATATCTGTATGGAATTTTTCCATGAAAATTCTCATTCTACTAGGTCTACAAGTGAGGGGAATCAGAGCTATGCTTTCTTTTTGCCTGTTAATTATCTTCTTTTTCTTTAACCTTTAATCCAAAATAATTGCACTGATGTTTTAGCTATGGAATATCTTTTCTCTTGCCTTTTACCTCTTTTTTTCCCTAATAATTTGCCTTTGAACTCTGTTCAGTCTGCATATTGGAATGTCAAGCTATCTTATTTCCACTCTTTACTTCTCTGTTTTTATTTTGCCTTTTCAGCAGAAAGATCAAGCTAAGACTTCTTTTAATCTTACTTCAATCTTTTCAGTTCAGGTCAGTATCCAAACAATCATGCTAGTGAGACAAGCTTCTTTGTTTGATTTTAACAGCGACAGCCTTTATTCCAGATCAAAACAATTCTCAGTTGTATAAAACACCTGAACAAAGTTTGGGCTAATTTCTTGGGAAGAATAACAGGTGGAGTGTCAGTCATTTTTACCTGGCATTTAAGCTGATACATCAGTGGAACCATTGAATGCCTGGCAACAGCATCCGCCAAGCAACACACATGCCAGAAGGATATGTAGACTAATATATTGGTCTAGGTTTTCAGGACACTTGGTTCCAAAGACAGGAGTCTGGTTAGTATGTGGTCTGCAAAGCTGACTACTTTGCCTCTGAAAAAAACAGCCACAGTTGCCAGCAAAATCAAGAAATCTGTCCTCCAGGCCAAGGTCACTAAACCCTAAAGTCCAACACTGCCCAATATGTAGACTGCTTACCTTTGTTTGAGAAATCAATACTGCTCAAAAGTACAAATTTGGGGGTACAGCAAAATGGGTTGCAAACAGTATTTCTGGCCATGGAAACAGATGGAATGGGAAAATCAAAATAAGTACTTAAAAAGAAAGCAAATGAAGAGTGCAAAGCAGAGCAAGGTGATGAGATTGCAAAACATGCTCAGGCATAAAACTTAATAGATTTGGAAGAAAGACAAGGGGAAGAAAACCTTGGCCAGCAGAAATGGAATGCCACCTATCCGATATCATTATCTGTATACTAAGGTGATACATTATCTTATCAAGCCCCAAAGGTTCTTTTTTAAGAGGCAACTGGACTTTCTGGTTTTTCTTCGAAGACATTTAGCTTCTCATCCAAGAAGCTTTTTCAGAGCTGAAAGAAGCTTCTTGGAGGAGAAGCTAAATGTCTTCAAAGAAAAACCAGAAAGTCCAGCTGCCTCTTGAAAAAAGCACCTTTGGGACAACCATGAGCTGGATGACTGAGAATCTCCATAGATATCTTACCAAGCGACTTCTGTTTGCATGTTAGTGGCATTTTACATTTTTTAAACATTCTTCATTGCATTTTATTTATGTTTCATTTTTCTTTCTAGTCATGCTGGCCGGGGCACAGGCGAGTTAACGGCACTATCGTTGGTGGAATCTGTAGGCCGTGCACTTGTTTTGGTCACGCAGAGTCCTGTGATGATATCACCGGAGAGTGCCTGGTAAGTGCTGATTGACAGCTCAGGATAATGTTGCAATTGAATTAACTACCTGGGAGATACTAACTTTTTTCTTTTTTAAAGTAAAGGTTTCCCCTGTTCAGTCATGTCCAACTCTAGGGGGCAGTGCTCATCTCTCTTTCCTAGCTAAGGGAGCCAGCGTTGTCCGAAGATGCTTCCATAGTCATGTGACCTGCATCACTCTATGCCGAGGTGCATGGAACACTTGTCACTTTCACACTGAAGTAGTACCGATTTATTTACTTGCATTTGCATGCTTTCAAACTGTTAGCTTGGCAAGAACTGGAACAAGAAGAGAAGCTCACCCCATCTACTTGGGTCTCGAATTGACAACCTTCTGGTGGCAGTCCAGGATCTTAACTACTAGGATACCACACCCCAGATGCTGACTAATTAAACAAGAAAAAATAGCTGTGATTTGATAGGAAGGATCTTTATAATGGACTGCTTCTGAAGTTAAAAAATCTCTTCGGTAGTATGATAAAATAACTAATGAGCATAAAGGTGAGCAAGAAAACTTTTGATATTTATCTAACACAAATAGCCTTTATCCAAAATAGCAAAGAAAATGCTTAGAAAACCTTCTGGTGTACAGTACAGTGTTCTAATTTCTGTTGTGTGATTTACTTAACATATAGAATAGTCTAGAAAATTATTAGTAACTGCTATAGTAATACATCATGCAAGTATAATTGTAATTCTCAGTAAATACCATAAAAATTCTTGCGAAAGAAAATGATTGGAAAGGAAACATAGCTTAGGCTACATGGAAAGGTGCCTTTTCCTGATTGAATGCATAAATCATACAGCTACGTACTAATTCAGAATTAAATGCATTTATGAGTCAGAATAATAATACTCCGGGTGCCAGTGTTTCCAGCCTGCTCACTAGCTTATTTTGACTGTGTAAATTACTCTGAATCGTCTGTTTTGATTAACTCAAGGGCATTTTAGTTTTATATTGTCTGACATGGCATGAAGTTTGAAACAACATTTCTCGTTTCATTAGTCTTGCAGAAATTCAATTTGAGCCACTGCCAGTTGAATGGGATATCATATTCCAGATTCCCTCTAGTATTTGAACCAACTCAGCATTGTTCTTCTCAAGGAAAAGTTTCAAGGAAAAAGCTAAATAAAAATGCAGTGGGTTTACAATTCAAGCTGGCATTTGAAATACCATTGTCCTTCCTGTTTTCTGTCTGTATGAAATTTCTATGTATTCTGCAGTTTAAACTATTTTAAACTGCTGGATTTTTCAAAATGTACCTTCATGAATGAATGCCTGAAAAAATTCACATATTAATTTTATATTTAACTAGCTCTATACCCAGACTCCGCTATGAAACTATGTGATCGGGCTTAGTTTTGGGGGAGGAAAATAAGGGAAAAAAATTCTGCCTCTGCCTACCAGCATCCAACCTTTTCATCTGGTTAGCATCCTGTCAATATGTGAGAGAGTTGAAGGCTTTTTGGAAACTGAAATAGTATTTGCTGTGTGAGCAAGGAGGAGACAATAAGGAGACTGGGCATGGCTTAGCTCAACTGTTCTGTACTAAAGCTCTCCTCTGTTTGTGTTTTGCATTTGGGGCAGATTTCTTTTCAGGTGGGACTAGAACTCCTTAGCATCAGAGCATGTTAATATAGAACTCCTTAGCATCAGAGCATGTTAATATAGGAAATACTAATGCTCTGATGGGCATTTTGAAAAATCCTTTCTTAGTGAGCACTTAGAAGCCAAATTTCAAATTTGTAGGCTTTACGGTTCTGGAGATTTTGTGATGACGCGTGAGTGGTATTTCACTTTTATATAGAAAGATATAGACATGTTTACAGGACAAACTATATCTTATGAAAATGGTTTTTAGTTTCTTAAATTTCTCTATGCCGCTCATTAGTGTAATGTAACAAATATTAATTTTTCTAAATTGAGGCTTGGCTTTGGACAGAGGTAAAATTTCAAAGGCTAAAGGACCTGGAATCTGCTGTCCCAAATGGAGTACAATCCAAAACCTTTTTTCCCCAGTTTCTTGTGTGTTAGGGGGAGGATAGAAGTATTTATTTTGCCAGTGTTTAATTTTAGAATTAGTTTTCTGTACTAATGTTACCAACAGATAAATTTAATCTGGGACGACTAGGTGGGAACTGGTAACATACAGCATCTTTACTGCAGTGGTGGGATTAATTTTTTTTTTTAACTACCAGTTTTATGGGCGTGGCTTGGTGGGCATGGTGTGGCTTCATGGGCGTGGCTTGGTCGGCATGGCAGGGGAAGGATACTGTAAAATCTCCATTCCCACCCCGCTCCTGGGGGAAGGTTACTGCAAAAGTCCCCATTCCTTCCCCACCCCACTAACCTGCTTTCCAGCTCTGTTCTCCTGTGCAGGGCAACAAAAGAAGACCCAGCCGATCAGCTGGGACTTGGGAGGCAGAGAATAGATGGGTGCAGGGGTGTCAGAGGTGGTATTTGCCAGTTCTCCGAACTACTCAAAATTTCTGCTTGAACTAGTCAAAACCTGCTGAATGCCACCTCTGCTTCACTGCCATATCCAACTGCAGTGTCATATTTATTTGCAGTTTTACAAAGCTTCTCTGTCCTCTTTTCTGTAGTGTTCAGACACAACCTGTATCAGAGAAAAATCACACACTGTCTAAACCTTGAAAAACTGTTTCTGTTGGCTGTAAGTTAAGTAGGATTGGTTGGTGCCCAGACAGGCTATTAAATGCTGCAATTCAATTTGGATCATAAGACTTTTGAAGTGAAAAAAGGAAGACTGAGAAAGGTAAAAAGACACACTACATCAAAGGGATTTTACCCCTAACTAAGTCATATTGCGCCTTTTGGACTTCTCATTACTATTCATCATGTTTCTCAGTAATACAACAGATAATTTAAGCAGCTAATTTACTGATACCTCTTTTGAATCTCCCTTAGCTTTGAAATATAGTTAAAAAGAAACTGAAATGTGTTTCTTTGAGAGTTTGATTCATAATAAGATCTCAGATCAAGACGAAGTCTATGTGAAAAAGCCTACCTCTTATACGCATGTTGGAATAACTTGCAAGGTCTTTGATCCCAACAGACTGTTGCATACTGCAGAACTATACATTCATGGTGTCATTGTAATGTACATGATGATTTCTTCCATAGCTAGCACAAGTTATAAACTGTTGGGTTATATTACACTATAGACACATTCTGCCTTGTGTATTCAAAACCATTCGTGGACCTTAGTTCTTGTAAAATCTTTTTGTTTTCATTTTGTTTTAATTCATTACTGACTACACTACTTGTATGCTGCTCTTTCCTGAACCACAGAGCAGCTAACAATGCCAATGTAAGACCACCCCAAATATCTAAAAACTCAGAAAAGATGCAAGAGATAGAAATGCCATGTATCCATCAAACCACCTTCATTTTCGACGCACCCTGTGGTGTAAAATGGCGCAAAAATAGAACATTGTTTTTCTGGAACCTGAGAGGAAGAAGCTGAAGAAATCTCTTCCAGGAAACTGAAAACATCAACTTCTGAGGCCATATGAGGTGGAGATCTCATCAACACAAGATCTTCAGGGAATTGACCCTTTTTGATCTGGTTGGACAGGTAGATGTATACAGGAGAAGGTCTCCCTTTCGATAATCAGAGCAATGTAGGGTCTTAAAGGTATTAACATAGAGCAGTGGTCCCCAATCTTTTGGGTACCAGGACCAGTTCTGTGGAGAGAGGTATTTCCATTGACAGGAAGGACCATGGTTTCATGTGCTGCCTGCATCCCACGGATGGGGCTTCGCTTGTTTGCATGGCCTGGTTTCTGGCATGCTGCAGACTGGTACTAGTCTATGAACTGGGGATTGGGAACCCCTAACATAGAGAGTTGCCATGTTCATATATCCAAGTTTTTGTGAGTCACCAAGAATCCTTGTGATTGTGGCAGGATGCTATTTGATGGACAGGCTATGTATTCTGACCTCAGCTTCCCCAAAAAGCACTAAGCAGACTTTTTGACCTGGCAAAACCCTTTTTATTAAACAAAGGTGAATTTCTTGCATTCACATTCAGCAAAAGGCCTGGCAAACAGTCTTTCAAGGGTGTAATTAGGAGCACAGACCTTATCTAGCTTGGAGAGCTGCCAAGTAAATACTTTCAAGCGCAGTGCTGACAAGGAAGGGCTTGGCGCAGAGTCTCTGAGATGCACAGACTGAGATGCTTCATACTCTGCAATGAACGAATTGTTTCCTGCAAAAGCCCCCTTTTGCTCCTCTTTTAATCCCTATGGGAGGGGCCATTCACTGTCCATCTGTGGCTTTACTCCCACATCAACCTTACTTCATAATTGTTCTTTTGGCAGCTCTGGGCATGCGCAGGCTGGGAACTGGCTCCAGCTGCTCCCCTGCCTCACTGCTGTCTACCTCCGAAGGCAGTTGATAACTGCCAGACTGTCCTGGCCCCATCTCTGCCTCTGACATAGAGCCCTCATATTCAAGCCTTCCTCAACCTCCAGGACTGCTCACGTTCCTCCCCAACCTCCTCACTGTCCAACTCTGCTGCCAGCTCCGCTAGCTGCTGGTGGGTCACAGCACTATGGTTTAGGGATGGTTCAACTGGTCTTTCCACACATTAGGGAAGGTTGGACTATATGGTTCTTTTAAAAAAAATAAATTTTATTGTTTTTTTAAGACAAACATAGACAAACAAAACCTAAAAACATCAAGCCATCTTCCATATATATACATACAGTGTGTCGGTTGGTTTACAAATTGTTTTGTGCTTACACTTCGTAGTCTTCAATTACAATTACATTGCATATATTCTCATATTGTCAATCAAATATTAAGTACATTAATATTGTTTATCAATCATTTGACTATACTAATATTCATTCATGTTTTACGAGATAATCTATATTTTACTTAATTTGTTTTATGACAATTCATATTATCATCTCAAATCTATCCTACAATAATTTTGTAGATAAAAAATACA